ATAGCCCAATGACAACAGGCAAAATCAATGGAAGACCAACTGGTAGTTGTCAGAGATTACAACGAAAATTGAACAAAGGAAATATTGCTACGATCTAAAACGCCACAACTGACTCGTCTGAGAATAGGATATACGAGGCCGGTTAATAAGGTGAATTTTATTTTACTCAGATTGATTTTATTTATTCATCAATTTCTATTTTGTGCCCTTCAAAGTAGTCCTCCTTAGATATAATATACTTGTACCAACGTTTTTCCAATTCTCGAAGCAGTTCTGATATGCACTTTTTGGTACGGCCTTGAGCTCTCAGTGATTCGATTTTTATCTTGTCAATCGTCGCAAAAAGGCCTTGCTGTTATGGGTCTCTTCATTCTTGGGAACAGGAAAAAGTCGTGGGGGCCAAATCTGGTGAATACGGTGGCTGAGGCATGATTACGGTGTTGTTTTTTGCCAAAAAATTACGAACAAGCAATGACGAGTGAGCAGGTGCATTATGGTGATGCCAAAGACATAAAGTGTGTTTCCACAATACCGGAAGTTTTCTTCGTACTGCTTCTTTCGCAAGCGGCGCATAACTTCAAGATAATACTCCTTGTTGACCGTACGACCATGTGGCAAGAACTTCTGAATCGAAGAAAATAGTGCGCAAAACTTTGACATTTGATGGAACTTGGGCAGTTTCTTTTTGTCAAAATTCAGCAATTCTTGAAGAACATCGCTGCTACACGCTTCATGCTCAAAATTTCCGAAAAATTGGCATGGTATGAACCAACCGATACGCCGACATTCTCAACAACTTCTCTAATAGTGATTCGACGATTCTCCATAAAAAAACAATTCTCAACATTTTGATCGGTTGTTGATGTGCTGAGGAATCGAGGACGAGTGTCATCATTCACATCTTTACGACCAAGCTCAAAAAGCTTGTACCTACCACTTGTAAACATTTTTCTGACTCAGAGTATAATCACTATCTACTGTCTAATCACTACTATTCTGATCATTCCCATATTAATTTATATTTGAGAGCCACCGGTAGACAGCTGTTTCAGCCTATTGGGCATCGTCAGTACCGGGCAGGCGGTCCTCGATTGAAGACAAAATGTGAATAACCAAGAAAAGTACTTAATAAAAATAACTGCCTAAACGCAAGCGAGACATAAGTGGAACCACCTATTGGTGTGACACCCAAGTCAACTTGCCAGGTTTTTATGTCAGTGTTGGTGGTTTGACCAATCATGGAATTATTTTCCAGCAGCTTAACTGCATTAACCTTTCTCAGTTGGACTAAGATACCGAAAAGTATTGCATCTTGATTAAATTATTGGTATATCAGAACGAACATGATAACAAACTGAGACATTTTGCAGCGAAACTACTTCATTTTGGAGGCTACAAATGGTCCGTTAGGAGCTATCAAAATGCCTGCATAGAAAACATTTTTTTTCAGAGTCATCTTCAATTTACATACTTGAGAGATATATTTATGAATTTTGATCGACATATTTTGATAGAAAGCCCTTAATCAATAAAATATTCGGAAAAATCACTAGAGCAGACTACCCTCTTTTGAGGGTAGATGGCATTTTTATGTGAAATTCAGGTAAACTTTCGATTTTGAATTTGCTATTCGGTTTATGAAAGTAATATTTTGGCGATCATCATTTTTTTGTCACGAATAGTCGACACTCTCCTGAATAGGGTTTGTTATAATCTATGACACATCTTTTGAAAACTATTTAAGATCTGTCTGTTTAAAATCCAACCCATTTCCGGTATAAGCGAAAGTGTTCCGGACTCAAAACATTTCAGCATCATTATTTACCGACAAATTGCATTATCTCTATACCCTGTATAATTCTCATTTTGTCATGTGACAGAACATGAATGCACGAATCCAAAGACGCGCAAAGAGCTTGTAGAAACATCTGACTCTGACTACTTGACCACCTAAGCCGATCATGCCTAAGCCGATACTTCAAAGCATATTTCATCTTCTCACATTTTAGTAACCTACTGAATCCTAACCTAACGTATTTTTCATTCCGTGAATCACTCACGTCGGTGACAGGTTTTCATTGTTTACAGTTATTAAGATATTTGGGTTACTGGATCATTCTAAATCGATGGATGAGATTAAACGGATAGCTCGATTCAGGAAGACCACTGCGTAAGTTAAAAAATTTATGTTCTACATATTTGAAATGTTATGTATTTTCATGAAATCAAGTTTTGATATAGGTAGCTATACTGCTTTACCATCCATAAATGTTTAATTTTCGTTAGACGTATTTTTACGAACAGTGTTAAAAGTGCGGTATACGACGAAGTACCAGGAGCAAATTTTCGTATAAAGTTTGAATGTGGTACTGCCGTTAGTTATTGCCATTTTAGATAAGATTTTGCTTCTGCGTTCGTGGAGATTTCGTGAGAATATGCACATAATGATGGAAAAACAAAATAAAATAAGTGTTGAATATTTGAAAACTCACATTGACTAAAATTAAATACATTTTCAATTTTACACAGAAAGTTAAATTATCCCTGAATGATCACGATACGGACGTTTGCCGAATTTCATTTTGTGAAGTAACTGTTCTGTCCGATGTCATTTCGAACAAAGCGGTTGCATGAAGTGGCAAGAAAAACAGTACATAAGTAATAATTGTAAAAATTGTATGAACTGTAAACCAGTAGAACGTCATTTCCTTTTGAATCAAAATAGGTAAAAATAAAGACCACAATCAATAAGGCTGCCAGGCGCCCCAGAGGGAGGTATGTTAGGTTGCAGCCCCCCCTCTTTGAGACATGAAAAATTCCGTTTGTTTTAATCAAATAAGTTCCGAATTTCATCCATATTTACGCGAGTTGCATTCGAAACTTGATTTTCATTTCTGCATTGTCATCTGCATTTGTAAATAATTTAATATATTCTATCACTATTATATGTTCAGCAATCCCAGAAACAAAATACTCGGTACGCCCTTGAACCTCTTGAAAATAAACATGTGCTTTCTGAATATACTCTGTGTCCAAGAGAAGAAAGTCGCTAGAGGGATTTCGCGGAAACTAGGTACAAAAGATAGAGCAATGACAAAATGGGGAGAACGCGTAATGGGGTACCTGGTGCTCATTTGAAAAATAGTAACATTTTAGATGAATCAATAGTAAAAAAACATTCTAAAGAAAACTTTCATAAAAGTATTCAAAAAAGCAGAAAATAAACTTGGAACTACCTATATCATACCACCAATTTATTATATTACGCAGTTTATATGATATAAAAGCTTGCTGCTCCATTTATCTATTTCATGAGGAATAGTTNTGAAAAAACATAATACTTTTCTTTTAATTACCTGCTCATGTTAAAATTGAGTTACATTAGTTCACCAACACAGGAAAATTCCGCGACAATAAGCTTTTATATCGCATAAATTGTATAATGTATCAAATAAATTGATAGGATTGATTTAATTTGAAGTGTTTATGTGTTAGGAATCACACGTTAAAAGGTAAAACCTCGTTAGTCCTTAGCTCGCACAAGTTTCTCAACTTCTGAGAGTTGTCGTTCGTATGGGGGTGACAGCTGGTTAACGGAAAAACAGATTTTAAAACAGACAGAAACAGATTTTTAGAATATGTAAATGAAAGTTCAAAAATCATTTGCAAACAGCAACCCTTCACAATTGATAGTTATAATTCACTCAGTTAGAGATCATACTACCCAATAAACATACGGATGTCCAGTGGATATACAGTGGATGTCCTTCTCGGGTATTTCGTATATCCGTTTCATATCCAAGGAATAGCCTATGGATATCCATTGGATGTTCGGAGGCCGCTAGGTTGGACTTCCATAGGTTATCCATCATTGATGTCCATTGGATATTCGATATGGATATCCATAGGATGTTCGGATGATACTGACTTGGATTTCCATAGGATATCTGTCATGGATATCTATAGAATGGACGTCTGTTTGATATTTTCATAGAATAAAACAAAACTCCTATTAATTAAAACTTGTATTTGTTAAAATAAATGTAAAACAACATAACACTGGTCACTCTCAAAACAAATTAAAATATCAAATACACTCAACATATTTGCTAACTCATGACAAAAACAAAATAAAATGCCGTTTGGAGTTATTTCCAGTATTTATTACTGGAAAAATTATTACCTCTCTCTCTCTTTATTCCAGATATTTTTGTCCAAGCAATATAACCACAATCACGTACGAAGTCACCGTACAGAATCTGAATGCTGCCACAGTATTTCGTTATAGTTTAGAAATACTGTAGTATAACTTTCAAACTCATAAATAATAATTACTATGGGCAAAACGCACCTGAATGAACAAATCATGCGATTAATCTACGACACACGGTTATTTATTTCAAACTGTGATCGTTTTCCAGGTTTTTATTTTATAATATTGGTACGCTAGGTAAAGCAAAACAACATAATTTGAAAATTTCCTAATGACAACATTGGATTTTCACTTAAATGATGGTGAACGGCGGGAAGAAAAGATATGATATGAACGTTTTTATAAATATTTCTAATTCATACCGTGAACAACGCTTATTCTACAATGAGGTAAATACTGAGGTTCAAATTGTCAAATGAGCAAGGTGAAAAAGTAATTGAAAATTAAAGAGTAGTTTCTTTTCACTTATTTTCATTACATTTTTGACCTACTATAATTCTTCATACAAATACTAAAAAAATGTCCGAATTATTGGAAAAAAATAAATATTCATTATTACATCAATCGAGTGACATCATGACGATCATGACTCATGATCACAAAATACCATTAGTTAGTATCATAAAAGTGAATCATGCTCAGAAAGAAAAGTCAAGACATTTCAATCAACAAAGAAGTATTTCGATTTATATTTCAAGATGTAATTTTCTGAAAAAATTGATAAGGGTCTATTATAATCCAGTTTTCAAACATAAGGTTATGAATGTTCAGTTGTAATTGTTAGATGGTTGGCACTGTTAGTTGGCCAACCTGAATCGCCATTTCATATCAAAAAGGTTTACGTCGTTTTGTTATGGATGGTTGTGTTAGATGTTGATCTTTAATAATGGATATATTCCATTCAAGTTTCGATTTTACACTTCACGATTTCTTTCTGGAAATGATGTAAAATGAAATTGTCGCCATGTTGAATAGGTAATAACAAGAACTCATTATATTTAATTGAACGTCTTTCTATGTTTTGCGTTTCAATATTTGAATTTACTTTCTGTTTATTTTTATAACGAATTCGTCAACGGTAAATATAATTTTGTTACCTACTATTAATTGAAAAGAATTATCAGAAAATTGTGTCATTACATGAAATACTCTGATTTTTTATCCAGGTATACCCTGACAACTACACCTACTTAAAAATAATACACCTACCTACTGTGTAGGTTTAACTGAAATAAAGTAATGTTTATGGTCATATACATTATTAACTATGATTTATATTTCTTCTAGTGCTACAGTTAAGAGAAAACGAAGAGCTGCACTCCAAACGATGGAAATTAGTGAAAAGATTTTGTTGATTGCTTCAGAATTTATAAAAGGTAGGTGTTGATATATCGCAAAACCACTTAAACCATGAAAGTCATTGTAGGTCGCTTATTTTTTGTATCGATAAATACTCCTGTTGAACCGAAGCCCACTCAAACAGTTCATTACTTTACCATAGACTATGAATTGGAATATGATGGGTTTTTCTTTGATTTTGGGCCACTGAATTTATCTATGCTTTACCACTACTGTGCAAAATTGAGCAGAAAACTCAGCCATCCCTCATTGCAAAATAAAAAAATTGTGCACTATACTTATGGTCCAGATGAACAACAAAGAGTCAACGCGGCATTTCTGATTGGATCATACTCGGTAAGTTGTTTAGTTAGTTTTACATTTATATATCATAATGATGCCTTGATTAAGAAATATGCATAATCTTCACTTGCTGCAGAAGAGGAAGAATAAGAGGTGTAAAAGTATCATTTTCCAACTTGAAAAGATTTTGAAAAATCCAATCATTGCAAATCATACCCAGATTTCAATTCATATTAATTACCAATATTAGTGAATCGAATGTGAAATAGTCATGAAAATAAGCAACATGTATTAAAATTTCTACTAACAAATTTTACATTTACAAAATTCAATTCTGGGTATGAATTTTGATTAATGAAATTGCATTTACTTCTCATATATCCTATGGATATCCATGTTTGCCCTTCACGGACATTCATCGGATATCCTTTTGAATACCGGGATATCCTGAACCTGAAATGGATATAAAACGGATATCCATAGGACATCCTGTGTTATCTGGGTAGTCATCAAAAAAAAATTATAAAATTCAATTTTGGGTATGAATTTTGATCAATGAAATTGCATTTACTTCTCATATATCCTATGGATATCCATAAGATATCATTCGACGGATATCCATACGCTTGTCCTTCACGGACATACATCGGATATCCTTTTGAATACCGGGATATCCTGGACCTGAAATGGATATAAAATGGATATCCATAACACATCCTGTGTTATCTGGGTGTTCATATGAAAGTAGTTTTCATTTGAAAGAAACGTCTGTGCATAATCTACACATCATTGTTAAGACTTTGTTTTGGAATTATTTGCTTTATTTTTTTTTTAGGAAGTATCACATATTTTTTCGTATACAAAGACCTAGTTACTATAAAACATATATTTCACTATCAGCATATATATGTGGTTATTTATAACATTATAAATGNATCTCAGAGAATATTTATTTTTATTTTATATCCTAGAGTAGACTGAAAAGGCCTAAAGCATTGATGGATTTTCAAATCAAACAAGCTGATAAATTAAGATCAACTGTATTTTTTCTTTCAATTCATCAGAATATAGACAGGTTCAGAAAAATAGATCGATGTGATAGTCTGTGTTCTTTGTAAACATTTATTTTTTCATTTTATCACAGCTTCAAACCTCCTAATCAACAATTTGGATTTTCATTATGAAATCAAATGAATTGAACATTCTATATTGAAACGAATTATCCTGAAACACAAAACAAATAGGTTTTGATGGTTCTCCCTTAAAGTGGGTATGAAGTTATTCTTCCAACCGCTAACAGTTTGTTAAGGTAGATGGATCTATGTCCAAGATATTCCTTTTGGGTTATTCAAGGATCCTACTTAGGACCTCAATCATGTAATATGTTTATAAATGATATTGAGGATTGAGTTCTGTGTCGATCCCACAGATGGCGTATTCGTAAGGAAGATGTTGTCGACCTTACTTTCTGTTATTTGTTGGCGACTTGAAACTATACTCTGTCATTAATGAAAACACAAATTGCCATGAGCTTGAAGAATGTATAAATATTTGTTAAAAAATAAATAAAAAATGTGCCGATTCATTACTATTTTCTTTTTCACAGATAATATATTTGAATTATGAGCCAGAACAGGCTTTCAAGGTGTTGAATCATGATCCAACAGAAGAGTACCTGAAGTTCAGAGATGCTTCAGTAGGCGAGCCATATACATTGAGCCTTCTAGAATGTTTGCAAGCTGTCAAGAAAGCTTGGCAGTATGGATTTTTCAATTTTGATAGTTTCGACTTTTTAGAATATGAACATTATGAACGTGTAGAAAACGGCGATTTCAACTGGATCCTTCCGGAAAAATTCATCGCATTCTGCGGCCCGCAGGATAAAAGTACAAAATCTAGTTTGGGTTTTCATAGTCACTCACCAGAGAATTTTTTTGCCTATTTTCGTAGGCATAATGTCTCTACGATAGTTCGTTTGAATAAAAAGGCCTATGACTCTAATAGATTCGTACAAGCAGGATTCGATCATAAAGATCTTTATTTTGTCGACGGAGGAACACCTAGTGATAGAATTCTGCAACTTTTTATAAACATATGTGAAAATGCGAAGGGAGCAATAGCTGTTCATTGTAAAGGTAATATTTTTTACTTTGTTGTATTCATTTTTGAAATGAACTCACTCAGACAGAAACTAACTGCATTAGGCTGTATTTATAACTTTGTTGTGCAAATAGGCATCAATTAATTTGGATAATGGGGATCACTGGGATATAGTTTTTTTTATTACTTTTCAGCCGATTCTGTAAATATTTGTTTTTCTGAAAACTATGTATCGTTTCTCAAGATGCTTGAATAATTTGATATTTTTCAGCTGGCCTTGGAAGAACAGGTTCTTTGATAGCTTGTTATATAATGAAACACTATAAGTTCACCGCCGAAGAAGCCATTGCTTGGATAAGGATATGCCGTCCAGGTTCTATTATTGGACATCAACAACGATGGCTTCAAGAGTATGTACATTAGTATTATATATTTTTAACTTTTTCTTACAAAAAAAACAAATTGTTCAGCTGAATTCTGGGGAGTATATTTTAGAATCCACTTGAATTCTGTGTTTGTACTTCAAAAAAAGAGTGATGCGTTTTTTTTAAGGAAACGACTCATGTAGGCCTGAATTCAGCACAAATGAAATTTTTACATTTTATACTATTTTTATATTAGAAACGGCTTGAAAAAAAACTTGAAAACTCTTTCTTGTATAAAAAAATATGTTTAACAAATTCATATGTGCCATCCTCCATTTTTTTTTAGAAAACAAAAACAAATGTGGGATGAAGGTGAAGTATACCGAAAAAAACACGGTATTCAAGAAATTCCTAAACATGTAACCGGAATATACCATATGTCCGAGTCGAAACGGAATAAAAGGAGTCAGGATAATGTGACGGGAATTGTTAAAAAGGTAGATTGCATGGAAATCAATGATCCTGAAGAATTCGAGCAGAATAAAATCACCCAGGGAGACAAATTGAATCAGATAAAGTCACAACGAGCTCGGGCAAAGCCTTTTGGAGCAACTCAGTAAGAAACTATTTTCAACTTATTAATATGTTTTGTGACTTGACCAGGCTTCGCATGGTTAGGATTTATTTTTCTGTTATTTTGTAGCGTCAGCTTGTACAATGATGATTTTTGTTTCAGAGCTGACCGACTTAGGAGAATACATGTAACCGCTACTTCTACAACACAGACTGTTTTAAGAGGAGGAAAAATACTCTGTACTGCCCCTACGAGGACTCAGACTTCTTCCAGTAATCGTGTAGTTTCCAAAAGGTTGGTGTGAATAAGTTAAAAGTTGAAAAGTGCACCTCATAAAGTAAGAGAATGGCTTTGAGAAATTTATTTTATTGCATGCGATTATTTAGTTTTTGTTCCATTTGGGTTATATTATTTTTAGATAGGCGAATGTAGTTTTAGTCGCCTATATCTTATTTGTTTTTGTTAGTTTTATACTTTTTATATGTGCACTAGATGTCTCACAACTGACTCGAGACTTGCGAAGCATCTTGAAGCATTATTTATTTGAGAGATATACAGAACACTTTTGAAATTTATTTATTTATTTATAAACATATAATTGGCCAGTAATCAGAAATTGAAGTTTTTTTACAAAATGAATGAAATTTGTTTGAAAGGCTTTTCCACAAATGATAATATCTATAAATATCATCATATTCTTGAGGAATTTTGTGAGACACAGAGCAAAAGTCAAATTTTGTAAAAATAGGTTATATATTTTTTATTACTGCAACTTTTGACATTTGTGGTACATGGCAAGGTTCAACTTTCACCATCCTTCATTCTTCCAGCCGACATTTTTTCCGTATACCTAACACTTTTTCAGTAATTCATTTCATTTTTTGTTGATGTGTAAAAGTAAACATTATTCATCTGGTGGCAACACAATTGAATGAATCAATTCTAGGCGAAGTATCAGTTTCATCCATTAGCTGCCTGTCTCTATCATTATTATTATCTTCCCACTTCAGGGGAGAGAACATCTTCACGATACATGTAGTTGCATGGGGGTTGGAGGTAGTTGGTGATGATGTGATTGAACATTTAAGTGCATGATATCTCGCATTATTCATTAACGCTTCTCTTAAAGGTATATTCATAGGTTGAAGTGTTGAGAAGGCATTGTGGTTTTGAAATATCAGAACTTTCCAAATGGTTTGTACTTATTCTAATTGCTTCAGAAAACCGTTTTCTTTTCAGTGGTTCATAAGTTTGGTTATTTGAAAATTGACAGAAACAGAAACAATTCATTTGACTTTCGTTTATTATAGAGCAGTATTACTTTTCATGCGAATCATACTAATTTCCTTATTTCAACTCGATTTCCATTTTCCATAATTTCATATTGGTTCACTATTGCTGAAAATTAATGTTCGAGTTAACATGACACGGGAATAAAATGTGTACACTGAATTTATGATGAACAGAAAAATATATGCGCAGTTGTTTTTCTGGGTATTCATTCAATTTTTTCAAAGTTTGACGTTTATTCTTTTATTGCAAATGGTCTTATCAAAACATATCACTGCTCCTAATAAGGGATGAGTTGTTTGTCAGTGATCATTCTGTTATTTTCGATCAGTAACATTTACATGAATTTTAGAGGCAAGTTTCCTGCTTTGTTAATTGAACTAGTTCTATTTTACTTCTGATAGATAACTTTTTCATGATTGCCAATTAGTTTTGGAGATATTCGAAAAAGTACCGAAATTTGACATTTTTGATTTTTTTCTGAAGTTACTTAGGAAGATATCAAGAAACCCTCTCTCATTGTCATTTTTTCAGCTGTACAAGGTGAGGTTTAAAGATTTTCAATCCGACAATTCGTCTCCAAGAAATCATGACAGATTTTAGTTTTTATATGGACCAGGAAAAATAATCATCCGTTATGAGTTCTGTCTTTTTGGCCACAATTTCATTGATGTATCACACATAATCGAAATTTCCTGAATTTCAAAAAAACTGAAAATGAATAACTTTCTGAATATTGAACTTGTCAAGAAATTATGATTCAGTATTTTCAATTTACAGTGAGTATTCACTCTGTACTACATATTTCATTCCCATAACAAATCACAGGTGGTATTTTATGGTTACATCGTTTATATGCATTCACATTCATAAACACTGATGTCTGTTCTGCAACTAGAATTGTAACACTTTTCTCAACGTGCATTTCACTAGAGAGATGATCTGAACAGTGCTAAGAATAGCACTTTAAAAGATAAGACCCCGTTGATTCTTAGCTCGCACAAGCTTCTGAGGGTTGTCGTTTGTAGGGGGGCGACAGCTGGTTAATGGAAAAACATTTTTTTACCAGTTCACATCGTCTAATGGTTGAAGAAATGCGCCTCGTGAAGTGTTTCATTTCTGATGTCTGGGAAAAGTTTTTTGTTGTCTACCTTTCTCTTATCTTCACTACCATTATTTTTACCTACTGTATTCAGAAAAATAACATCGTGGACCTACCTCAGAGATGTAGAACCTATAATTGTTGGTATATTTAATTGTTACAATGTGATAAAATTTTTATAGAGTGTTTGAGTGAAATCTTTCACAGGAATTAATTTCATTCATGTAGAAACAAAAGTGAAAGCTTTTTTTCTTCCAGTTATTTTTGGTTGAAATATTAATGAGTCTACAAGATTCCTACATTGCAAGACATGTAAATATTTCAGCCTTTATGGAAATCTGTCTTCAGTCATTTTTGATTTTGTCATGATCAGGGTCATTCATATTTTTTTATTTTTACATTATTTTTGAAAAGTTCTCATTTTTTAATAGTTTTACCAGTATAGATTAGGTTTAACGAGACATTTAAGTGATGTCAATTGTTAATGTATTACATTTCATTCCCAAATTTGGGTTTTAGTTTTGTACACCTTTGTGATTATTAACACTTACTAAAAAGATATCGCTTATTCAAATGAAATACCTCAAATAACTATATGCTAATTATAAGATAATACCTATTAGGGGGAAAGATTGAAATTTTTCTGTTGAGTGTTGGTTTGACCACTATTTAATGGAAGATGGAAATATTTTAACTGAAACACTCTGAATCTGATTAGTATTCCAGTAATTTTAATAACATAGTTGTTATTACATTGATAATGTTATGTATAAATATTTAAAATTATATTTTCAAATAAAGGAATTATTCTTTCATTGCTGAAGTGATTCATCTAAGATTCACCCATTATTAAACTTGAGTAAACATCGTCGCTGTAAATGGATAGTCGTTATAAGCGGAGTCGTTATATATGAATTCTACTGTATTTTCTTTTTTTTTTTAAGTAACTTAACCAAATATTTCGGTTCTGATATTTAAAACACTATATTGATTGATAATTGATGAAAATCCATAACTAACTTATTCAAGAAACACTTTGTGATATTTTCACTAAACAGTTTTACAAAAACGCAACACGTGTTTCGTCATACAGTGGCTCCTTCAGGCGTGTCTTTATGTGTCAGTAACGACACGCCTGAAGAAGCCATTGTATGGCGAAAACTGCTTAGTGAAAATATCACAATAACGTGTTTATTGAACACTTTATTGATTTTTTCTTTTCATGGTTTTTGAATCTGTTAACACTTTTTAGACAATGGAAGTGTGAACCTCGTAACGTTCATCAAGAAATATTGTTGATCACATACAAACAAATGTAGTATTTGTATTTTCAACATATATTATTTCCACTGATGTACTTGATAAAATTTTATGAAGCTACGTGTGAGTGCAAACCATTGTGTCTTTTTTGGGTAAATCAGCATGCTACGAGCTTTCTGGTGATTTTGTATAAAGCACTTGTAGTACAACCTGCATATGGGTGATTGTGAAAAAATTTGACAAACATTGAGCAATTTTCTGAGGAAATAACCTATGTTATTTTCTTCTCTAATGAAGTAACTGATCAAATATCTGAGTGGTGTTCTATAAATGGCCTGCTGCTAAATCTCAAATGCTCAACTTTGTTACTAATAATACAACAATTGATAAAAGCTATTTGGTTAGATTAAATAATGAAACTTTACATCAAGTTAATCGTACTAAATTCTTAGGTGAACTTAACTGGAAGTTCCATGTTGATAGTGACAAACTGAAGCTCGGTAAACATATAAATTTACTTTGTCAGTTGAAACAAAGTCTCTCTTGATGTTCTCAAGCTTTTTATACCACAGTTCAATACAGTCAGTATTGAACTGTGGTATAAAAGCAGGGACCTTTAAATTTTTGAATAATGTGGACACTGGTTTCAGTGATAAAGCGAGTTAGCATCTTCAGGAATTTTTCTATCCTTGATATTGTATTTACATTTGCAAACTGAGCCTTTCAATGATGTAATTTTTGTGGTAATGAGCCAGGTTTGATACTTTTTGAATTTCCCAGCTTTATTGGAATTGTTCAATTCTGGATTTCAACGCCTCTGTTTAACCTGACATGGTATGCATATTTTGTTGCTAAAACTTTGGTGAAAAAATTTAAAAAGTAAAAGACATACAGTCCTAATTTATGGAGCAAAGGAGAACGATGAGCTAGTCAGGTTGGAGATGTTGCTTAAATTGCCTGTCCTCCGCTTCTTGACTACCAAATAAAACCCTGTTGAGTATTAACATGAATGTTGGTCAAAACACCCCATGGAAGTATGTCAGATCAGAAAATCTTGGTTGCCATCGTTATTTAGATATTGTTTAACATATTATACAATATTGAATAGTAGGCTTGGACAATGGTGTATGTTTTTGTTTTTGAACTAGTATCAGCTCCCCAAACAAGACTTTATGCACGCCACTGTGCTTGCGGTAGTATCTGGCAAGTTATGACATACTTATGATTGTTTAGCATGTTCAGCAGGTACAGTTTTTGAACCCAGTGAGAAAAGTTTGTCTACCATTACTTTTGTTGACAGAATCGAACTGCCGCAACCTGTTAAGCGTGTCACCACGAGAAGACTAGTTGCCCCCATTACCGGAATAGGCAGCGAAAAAGTTCAGCTAAACGAGAAGAGTTCAATTATAAAGAAGTCCCCCTTGACCCGAGCGCAGAACGGCGAAGCTTTGAAAGCGACAGCAGTCGAGGAGACGCAGATCAAAAGGAATAAGAGAACTCTCGCTTCTGAGAAGGATAAAACTAGTCCTAGGTCAGTGAAAGTATTGAGGAGGTCGCATATCCTTTCTCTCAATTATAAAGATTGTGACAAATCCGATCGAAAACTTCGGTTACCCTCTGTCACATTGAATAAAACTGTGTAAGGTGTTTTCCAAGAGTGACACGATACAGGATTCAGAAGGTGCTCAAATTGTCAGAAACGTTTCCATTTATTTCAAACTTTCAGAAATGTAACACACTATGCCGTTCGTATAATGAAGTTGATGAGATCTAATTTCATTCTATGAATAGACTGACCTGTTGATGAAAGTTATAACACTATTCTTGATAATAATTTTCACAAACATTTTTTATTTCTAGACGGTTAGAAGGTAAACTTTCCTATCCCAATCCTTCTTATGAAGTCTTAATCTTTGACTAAGTGAAATATAGATTTATTGATCCTCCAGGTGTACAAACAGAGCAATACACATCCAGTTTTTGAAAGAATAAAAAATTACATACACCTTTCCTATTCTGTCACTTTGCTTCTACCTTCTGTTGAATTCCGCTTTACATATTTCATTTTGATTAAAAAGTTTGTTGCATTAAGAAATTGATGACATTGCATCACTAGCATCGATTTATGTTCTGAAAGTTTGAAGTTGCATAAACTATTTATTGGCACATCCCGTCTTACCTGTATCGGAGTATTTATATATTGATAGGTATCTACGTAGACTGTTGAGAAAAATATGAATTAGTTCATGTTGATCTTTCTCTCGATATGAAAATATATTGAAGTATTTTCAATTGGAAGATTCTATATTTTCAGATTTCTGTGAATATATCCAGAGAGATAAGTACATAACTACTGTGTCGTTTCATACACAGGGTCGTCTGAAATCTGCATAGTCATGAAAAAAAGAGCTCTGTGTTTTGCAGTGTCGATTGTCTATCAACTATTCAACTAACAACGCCCTGTTCAAAAATTCTGGTTGAATTAAAGATAACAAACTTGATTACGGTAAAATGCAACACAAGAAATATGTTTGAAAGTCCTTCAAAGTTTTGATATCGGGGAATAAAAAACATCGAGAGGTATGTTGTATTTTACTGTGAAACCTTTGTTTGGTCTGAAAAGTGTGATTTGGTAATTTACATTGCGACAATTCTTTCGATTGAAAATTTGTATCGACAAGGAAACTAAAACTAAAAAACTAAAACTGTGTACAGGGTGGTAAGTAAAAACGACTCGATAGACTTCAACTTTGTCATTTAAAACACTATAATGAGCGGGTGGTTTTTTACATTGAGTGAAAGGGTGGAGTTATGAGAATAGTCATGATTTTTATTCGGGAGAACCTCAGAGAGGGTAACATATAGCTTTTATAATTTGAACATCAACTCCTTGAAAAAATTATTTTTATTTTCAAAACCTTGCTTGCCTTTTGAATTGCTGAAAAATATTTGTAATTGCATTATCAATAAAATCGTTTCATATTTGGATTGAGAAATGAAAGAAGGTTAATTTTAGGCAGCATTCGTCTCCTTATCCCATTTGAAACTCTCAGATTAGTGACCCACCCTGTATCATTGATATCCCATTCCAGAAAAATATCTGAAGGAAACTTGAAATATTATTGTGGAAATTGTGGCCAAGTTTTGTGTATTTGAAACATTCAACATTCATTTAGTGCTATTTGTTTAGGATTAGGGAAAGAACATATTACGCTTACTACATTGATTTTCATAGATTGTATTTTTTCTTCGGATATTTTTTGTAGTGTTCATACAAATTTTGGATCTGAATCATTGTGATCGTGAAATATAACCGAAATTGCAAATCACATTTTACCCAGAAAAATAATGGTTTTCCGCGTCCTCCACATATCAAACTCTAAAATAACAGTTATCACTTTCTATTTTCCAGTCACTTGTCATTTGAGATTTATCTTAAATCCCAAAGTGTGTGTCACATCTAGCTCCACTTTAAAATTTTGAGGTGGAGGAAAGATTTCGAAAAAATGTTTCATGGAGGTTTTGGATTTTATTCCATTCAGCTTCAAAATCAATCATTAGTACCAAATAAAGTTTTGGTTTACCGCGGACACATGTTTCTGGCTATTGTGTTGCCCATCTTCGCACTTGGCTGCATCGTGCTGATGAGGCTAATAGTCAGAAACACGTGTCCGTGGTTTTCCCCTTTCTTTTCTTTTGATTTCTATAGTGCTGTTCTGCGAATTATCCTCCATTTTGATTTATACACACGCTGTATACTCACTGTCATCGAGATTTGTTTTGTGAATACAGGGTTAATTGTTGACACTGACAAGATAAAAAGAAAAGTCGTCCACCAAAAGATAGTTATGAAAAATTATTGTTGATACTTCAAAAGGCGAGTTGAACAACAGTCATAAGTTGTGTTGATTTTATGAAACTTGTCTTTTAGAAGATTTTTGTCCAGTGATTGGGTGAAAGCAATAAATACATATTTTTTAATGGAACGTCCAAGTCACACTCATCTACAGACTATTTTTGTAGCTAGTTTCATTGAAAAATCATAGAGGGCTTTTTATGATTATGAACTGAGGCAAATTGATTGGTTTATTATTCATATTGTGTTTGTATCCTGACATTTTTTTGCTGCTTCTGTGAAATTACAAATCTCGTATAATACGGAGCATCTTTCTTTCTTTCATGTGAGCAGCTGGCTTTTATAATAAATTCGTTGCACTGATATTACCCAAACTCCTCAGATAATTATATCAATCATAATTTTGTGATTACTCATCATCGGATACTTTTTTTTTCGTAGACACTGCCCTAAAAGAGACCCATGAATCATGTTATTTATTCTTTTAGTATTGAATCTAGACATTGTCCAAAGTCATCTTTTCCGATTTTTCTTTCATACAGTTGAATGACAGACCAACATAAGGTGTTTCATTAGATTTTTTTGTAACATTTCAAATGCTCTTTTTTGGTATTGTGTGAAAAAACTTGAGTTTGGGTAATTTGGTTGCTTTACTTTTTATTTTGTCTTATTGTTGAGTTCTATTTGTGGTTGATAGTGGAAGTTTCATTTGGGATTGTTAATTTAAAGTTGATACTAATACCATCTAATATATCTGTTTCGTTTTGACAAACTGAAATAGAATCTACTCTGGCTAACAGTTGAGTTGAATTCTCATTCTTGTAGTTTAGTTAGATTGGATTTTAAATTTAATATTCATCATCATGTTTCAAATTGATGGTGAACGTTTAGTTCTTTATGTAAGAAGGCCTGACAACTGATGTTGAATAATTGTATTTATTGTAAATATATATATCTTTTATTGTTTTCCTAGTTGAACTAGATTTTTCAGTAGTCTGCAAAGTTGAAATTTTTCAACATTGTGGATAAACTGAAATATAGTACATCTATTAGGATGTTAATAACAAAATCCTTTGTAGAACATGAGCATGAATAGCACTGTATATCGTAGAAAGCTTTGATGTCATGTTTGCTGAAAAGTTTTCTTTCTATAGAGTTTGTTCGAACGGATGATATTTGATAATATATGTTGTTCAAGATCTAAAAAGTATTCTGCTATAAATGACGGTATTTCTAAAATCGATTTATTCTAATTTGGATGTGAATCCAATAAAATTTATAGCAGAGATGTTACGAATATATAATTTGACTTGTATAGTGACTCCACAGTTAATGCTTTATTATTTCAAACACTGAAGTTGGAGTAATCCAAAAGATGAAATTGCCAACATTATGATTTAAGTTTGGGAAATTCATCTAGAAGAAAGATTTGCAAATCATCATTCCTTGAGATTTACCGCTTCATTTTTAATCACCCCAATAGCCGTTTTCATTCAGTTTTCTTTGAACAGAGAAATTGTGAATGGTTCAATTTGAAGTACTTCATCCAATGTGACCAAAGCGATTTGAGTACTATCAGTAGATTTGAGATTTCTGTCTGCTGTACACCCCCATATTAATTAGTGTTAAAGGTTTCAGATAGATGATGTCAGGAAGTCGAAAACATGTTTCACATCACCACTGGAAGCTTCGATTTGTTATACTAGAGGGTCTTGAAGGACATTTTGAGGGTAAGGCAAAGCAAGTTGCTAATATTTTTTTCAGAAATTGGCATGTCTAGCCATGTCCTGAATCAGAGAGATGTGACACACTTATTAAGTTGATGATTATCTCTATCCATGATAATAATTACAGTCCATTCGTAATGATTATATCACCCTTGATAGGTGCAAACTGAATGAAAAAGCCTATTGTTTTCAGTTACATGTTTTTATTTGGTTTATGATTGACTGCTGGTGGATCTACTACATATCAAATTGGAAATATCATTTATGAGAATATTTATTTAGGTTTATTTCAGTATCATTTCTGTGTACTGATGCTATTAGTACTATATATTGCATTGACACTAAAAATGCTCATTTAAGGAATGTTATACTAGATTATTTTATATTACAATTATTGCTTGAGATATTCGTTATATGTTGTGAAAGTATTTTAACAAAGACCAGTGGGCACTTTTACCATGCCATAATATCAACAAAAAAGCTGTGTTGAATTTTATTGTTTGTGAAAGCTGCTCTTCACAAATCAAGTTAGTTATTCACCCATCCCTTTTATACACATCTTGGTAAAATGCCATATATTTTAATATACTTGTACATTTAGTTACATTGTGATGTGATTTTGTTACATAATATGATTTAAGGGCAAACAGAAACATTTAATAAATGTTTTTATATAAATTGCACGTTGTTTCTACTATTCCCCAAATGCATATACAGAACGAGTCATTGGAAATGTATGGTTGAAAAAATCTGTTTTTCCATCAACCAGATGTCTCCCCTCTACGAACGACAGCTCTCGAAAGTCGAAACTTACGCGAACTAAGGACGAACGAGGTCTTACCTTTCAACGTGTGATTCCTAACGCGGAAACTGCACCTGGGAAAGAACTTTTTGCAAAAATCCAAAACAAGCCGAGTTTGTTTGAGGATACAAATTTCAGTCTAAAAACCATTGCATAACCTTCATACCTCTAAACGAGATTATCTCCCAGATTTCAATGAACGAGAATAGGGGTCGAGAGATACCTCATAGAAGAAGGCTTTTGATCCTCTATACATTGCCGCTTGC